CGCATATCCGAAACACAGGGCCAACTTAAGGCAATGTTTCGGATAATGGCTCTCTGGGATACAAGGCTCAGTTAAGGCAATATCCCAGGATTGTCCATGGACTCATGTCTTTGGAGAACAGGTCTTACTGATGTTTGATTTCAGCTGAAAGACCAGTGTTCTTTAAAAAGACTGAGTTTTGTAAGCCATCTGAAACCCAGTTACCCGAAGGCGAAGGTTTCAGACGAGGCTGATTTAAAAAGGCTGTTATCCTTGATTTTCTGTCTATCTTTGAAAAATGGATACCCGAAACACAGGGCCAACTTAAGGCAATGTTTCGGATAATGGCTCTCTGGGATACAAGGCTCAGTTAAGGCAATATCCCAGAATTGTCCATGGACTCATGTCTTTGGAGAACAAGTCTTACTGAAGTTTGACTTCAGCTGAAAGACCAGTGTTCTTTAAAAAGACATGAGTTTTGTAAGCCATCTGAAACCCAGTTACCCGAAGGCGAAGGTTTCAGACGAGGCTGATTTAAAAATTTTCAACTGTTGCTGTTATCCTTGATTTTCTGGCTATCTTTGAAAAATGGATACCCGAAACACAGGGCCAACTTAAGGCAATGTTTCGGATAATGGCTCTCTGGGATACAAGGCTCAGTTAAGGCAATATCCCAGAATTGTCCATGGACTCATGTCTTTGGAGAACAAGTCTTACTGAAGTTTGACTTCAGCTGAAAGACCGGTGTTCTTTAAAAAGACAGGTTTTGTCAGCAATCTGAAACCCAGTTACCCGAAGGCGAAGGCTTCAGACGAGGCTGAATAAAAAACCCTCAAAGAGTAGATAGAACAAAGAAAATTTTGAAAGGATAAAAAAGTTGTAAATTTTATATAAATGGCGGCTCCAAGGCCTTTCATTAGTTCAAAATGTACTTACAAAGATTGTTCTGCCCCGAAGGGTTTACACATGGTATCTTTTCAGTACATCAGCGTTCCAGTGATTTTTCAACTCAGTTCCATCCAACTGCCGAAGTCGGTATGTCCCTGGCTGAAGCTCATCATATATTTCGTAAGGTCCCTCCCATGTAGCTGAGAGCTTCCCATGGATTCGGCCTTTCTGAACTGCAGCAGCATTCCGAAGGACAAGATCTCCAATTTTGAGAGGCCTTGCATGGACCCTTCGGTTATGGGAGATGAGGTCTGAACTTATCCCGGGCATATCAGCTGCCGAGAAAGCAAACACATCTCTGTTATCCCGCAGGAGCTGAATAAGTTCACAACGGGTGTTAGGATCAAGGTCCATCCCGATTGTTACACATTTCTCAGCATCTCCTTCGGCCAACTCAACTGTTTCAGTCTGTTGGTCCATGTCCATTGCCGATGGACTGGACTCTTCAGAATCTGGTCTGCTGCCAATGTCAGCAGGTGTCCCAGTCTTTATGTTCTTCGGCTGGCTCTCTGAGTCTTTCGGCTCAGCTGAAGAGTCAACCTTTTCCCTTTCGGGACCTTTTTCTCTGGGCACGGATCCTTGGGCCGAAGCACTTAGGCCTTTCGGCTTTTTTGTGCTTGGCTCTCTTTCTTTTTCCTCCTCATCCCTGTCGTCATCTGGGCGACTACTGGATGGCTTGAGGTAGTTGCACCTTCGGGCGTCCTTTTGGTTGCCCTGTATCCTTTCGGGGAAGCCGGCGTCTGAGACATAAATCATCAGCTGATGATAAGTTGAGACGACCCTTGGATCTCGTGAATTATGGGTCTCCCCAAAATCACGTTGTACACTGAAGGAGCGTCGATGACCAAAAACTCAATCATGACGTTCCGGGCTGCCTCATCGCAACCGATGGTGACAGGAAGTGTCACCTTCCCATCTGGATAAGTTGAAGCCCCATTGAACCCGGATACCGGATAGGGTACCGGCGTAAGGTGCTTGGGCTTCAGCTTAATTTGGTTGTAGGCCTTTCGGAACAGAATGTTTGCTCCGCTGCCACCGTCAACAAGGACCTTACTGACGTCGTGGTTGGCCACCGTGGCGATGATCACCAACGGATCCTCGTGAGGAAACGTAATCCCCCGGCAGTCGGCGGCTGTGAACGTCATGTTCGGCACCGGCGACTGGGGAGATTGAATGTCAGCGTTGTTCACCTGGTGAGTCAAAGCTCTAAGGTGACGCTTGTGCTCCCTCCGAGAGTATATTCCTCCCGAGATAACATTGATCGGAGGGAATTTCCCCTCCGGTTTTTTACTGTTTTTCCGAGGGAAATCAAGGTCCTGCCGAGGGTCCTTTGCTAACCTTTCGGATTCTTTTTTCTCGCGGTGATCCGCGATGTATTTTTTCAAGTATCCCTTCCGGACCATGTCTTCTATCTGGTCCTTCAGCTGGATACACTCCTCAGTGTTGTGGCCCGAAGACTCGTGGAACTCACACCACTGATTTTTATTTTTTCGCTGATACCACTCTGGGAGTGGTCTCGGCTTTCGGTAACTCTGCTCCTCCTTCGTCACACTGTAAATTTTGGCGCGTGGAAGAGAGAGCGGAGTGTAGGACTCGTATCTGCCTGTGTATGAGGCAAACCTGTCCTTCTTTAGGTCGCTGGCCGAAGATGGCTCCGAGGCCTTTGATTTTCCCTTTGCCTTATGGCCTTGGCCTTCAGACAAGGGTATTTGCCTCTGTTTCCCTCCCCCGGATTGAGGTTGGGTTTTTGCTTTATTCCATTCTTCGGCTCGGATGAACTTATCCGAAGCACTAAGAGCTTCCTCCAAGGTCTGCGGGGTATGCATGACCATGAAGTCTAGGAATTTTCCTGGCTGAAGGCCATTCTGCATTGCAAAAACAGCTAGCCCCTGGTCCAGCTGAGAGACGCTTGATGACTCGTTACTGAAACGGGTCAGGTAGTCTCGGAGGCTTTCAGTTTCCCCCTGTTGCAGACCCATGAGCTCTGCGGTAGTCTTCTCTCGGCGGTTTGCCGTGGAAAACTTGCTCCTGAACTTGGAGGACAGATCATCCCAACCTGTTATGGAGCCTTGCCTTACTCCCTTGGAGATCCACGCTTGCGCGACCCCCTTGAGAGTGGTTGGGAAATATTTGCACCAAGTCGCCTCGGATCTGGGGCAAAGATGCATATGAGTCTCATACGAGGCCACGTGGTCCTTCGGATCCGTGGTCCCGTCATATGTGATATGCGACGGTATTTTAACCGTGGGTACGCGCTCTTCTAGTATCCATTGCTCGAATGGTGAACTAGCGGGAAGCATAATGGCCTTGCCCTTGTTCCTGGCCGAAGGGACCGCGCTCCGCCCTCTTAGAGAGGTAGGAGTGGTTTTCGTCCCTGGCTGGGAAGTCTGGGCCTCGGCTGCAGGGAACGTGAGGCGACTACGCACGCTCGGTTCCTGGCCGCCGAGTCGGTCAAGGACGCTTCTGCGAGCAGTCTCAGGTTCCCGGCGAGTAGATTCTGGCCGAGAAGCTGAGCTGCTGCTCTTATGCGCTGCTGGTCTTGAGGATGAGGATCCTTTAAATAATTGAGAGTTCTTCTTCCTCTGTTTTTCATTTTTCCAAGAATCCTCCTCCCACTCTTCCAGTTCCCGGAAGGAAGGAAGCTTCCCACCGTCATGGTCTAACTTCCTCCGCTGATGCCGGGTATGCGGAGGAGTTCGATCACGAGGCGGTGGCATATTCTGTGCCCTCATTGCCTCCATGAGTACTGCCAGCGCTCTTGCCACCTCTTCCGAACTGGGCCCCGTCAAAGGGGTCCCCGGCCGAGTGTGGGCATGAGGCCGTGCAGCCGATGGTTGGCTTCGGGACACCGAATATGTCCTATGATCAGACTGACCCCTGCTAGACCGAGAGTGGTCCGGCCTATATTGGGAGTCATGCATTATAGGAGATAGGGAATCCTCCTTGTGTGATCCTCCCCCCGAGCCGGCACCCTTGGGAGAGTTCCGGTCCGGCGAGGGCGATGGTGTAGGGGTTTTAGGCTTTTCGCCCGCTCCTTGACGGAGGCTTTTGCTCTTGCGGTTCTTAGCCATGGCTGCTAAGATAATTGCAAGATGATCTTGGTTAGGAATTTGGCTTAAAGATTTTTGAAAGTCTTCCCCACAGACGGCGCCAAATTGTTTCGGTTGAAAACAATGGGACCTTGCCGAAGGTCCACTGAAATGGAGAAGACTGGATTCGATCCAAGCTGTGTTGGGCCGAAGGTTTCCTGCACAGTGAACACACGTAAACTAGCCTCGGGGGTGTTTCCGAGGAAGGCCCCTCCGATGCTAAAGTCAGTACAATGTGTAAAAAGGAAGACACTATGCAAGAGAGTTTGTAGCTTGAGGCTTTTGTGGAGTATTTCTCAATGCAAGAATGAGCATATGAGTTGGAATAATCGGTGTATGAGATAGTGTATCTGATCTCGTAATATGACTCTCCTCTTGAATGTGTTAATATGAGGGCTTTTATACCTCATCATACTTGGAGAGGTTGGGCTTTAGCCCAATTGGCTTACTTTGTGGGCTGACTTTTGACTTTTGAGCAATTGGAGAGTTGAACCTTGACCTTGGGCTTTTAATTGGATCATTTAGTGCTCCGGCCCAATTTTGACTAAATTGGACCCAAACACCCTTGAATTATGTTCTAACCTATGTACTCATTGTTTCTAGTTAGTTGTTTTTTGCTTTCATAATTTCTTTTATTAATGTGTTGGTGGAAGCACTTAGCAAGTTATTCATGATTGAATTATACTATGTTTAAGTAAGTAGTAAGCTACTTATCTTGTAAGGACTTGAAAGACTAGTGGCTTTGCTGAATATCTAAGAATACTGGTTTAGTAACATTTGAAAGTGTTCGGTGATATGTTACTGATTTCACTAACACTGAGTTGCTGAATGTTTGGAGTGATGTGGATTCTTCCAGTAGTATGTCGTTTTAATCATCTTAAGTCAAGTATATTCAATTTGGATTCAATTTTATCACACTAAGGTATTGCATTTAACAACTTGTATAGGCTCCAAACTTAATATAAGTATGTACTCCTGAAACAGATTCTTTGATAAAGAAGTACAAAAGAGCAAAATCAAACTTGGATTCACTGGAGAAGTTAGGAGCATCTCTTATACATGGGGTTGATGCAACCAAGATGAAGCTTCACACTGATCTCAAAATGAGGAAGTTTGATCGCATTGTCTTCAACTTTCCCCGCGCAGGCTTTCATGGAACAGAACAAAGCCTGCATCTAATCAAGTAAGCTTAGTACCTATTTTTTTTGGCTGGGGGTGAATTTGAGGTAGCTTAGGATACAAACTGCAGACTGCTGAGATAATATTGTTAGTGCCTTTTCTTCTACATGTTGGTCTTACAATCTTACTTGACGACATGATGTTTTATCAAGTGAAAATCTTTCATGCTTAAGACTCTATGCCATTGTCATAAAATCATCAATTGTCAAGAAAAATATGGAATTTGAAACACTTGGTTTGTTTATATATTGCTAATATCTGTTTTCTTGCGTTACATGTTATTAACTCTTTTGTGTCATGGTATAAACACACGTTATTTTGGTGTCTTCAGCAAGCACAAGAGACTTGTGGATGGATTTTTAAACAATGCTAGTCATATGCTGCGATCCAACGGTGAAATTCACGTTAACCACAAAACGTCTGGTCCATTTTGTCTCTGGAATATCGAGAAACTTGCTTCTCAGAACTCACTTTTACTGATCAGCTGTGTTCCGTTTAAAATTGAGGACTACCCTGGCTATAACAACAAGAGAGGAGACGCCTCTAGATGTGATGAGCCTTTTCGCTTGGGAAAATGCAGCACATTCAAGTTCATCTTATCACTTGGACGTAAGAAAGTGTCCACCAATCACAGTCGAAAGACTTCAGAGAAAACTATACCTCATCAAGAAGAGAGGAACCCTGCAACCAATCACTCTGATTCGCGATATAAACCAGTTACTCTCTTCTCCAGGAATGTGAGGTCTCCAGTCAATGAAAGGTTTAGAGAAGATTTTGCTAGGATATTTCGTTGGTATTTTACTTATGTGGAGGATACATTTGGGAGTCGTGAGGAAAGAATCGGCTATCATGTCCATGAAGCAGTAAGTCGAGGCTATGAGAGATTCACTAATATGGCTTCTGGCAGACCTTCAAGTGACTTCGTCATCTATCTAGAAGAGCTCCATCGCTTGAGTCTTAAAAGGATAGAGTGGTTAAAACATAGCTTAGAAAATATTCGTTGTTCTTAGTTCTAACTGCTGTGAATATAGAGGCAAACTTTGGTGTCTGATGGTTTTTGGGTGCAAAATTTTTATTAACCCACTCTACTCCAAAGCACAGCTTGGATTCTGCTGCTATGATCATGCTGTGAATATGCAAATTTTTGTAAAGAGAAGCTACTCAAGTATGTGTAATGTTTGAACCAATCTAGAGCAATTCTACTGATCTCTTATTACTGATTGCTGAAATAGCATTTATCCAACTATTGTACGTTTCCACTGCAACCCCTGAATTTCTCATATCAGTATTAATGGAGTAAATTGATATATTTTCCTTTGTTATCTCTTACGTATAATAATATCTTTGACTTGTATCATTGTAATCTTCCTAATTAGTTAGGCGTATATTCCTCGCTAGCTGTAAATAATATCTTCTTATAAGGATATTATTATTTTCCTTAATTAGTTTATTCCTTGCACATATTTAGACTATAGCTTGTAATATATATAGTTGACGTTACTTTTGAATACGATCACCATTCATTTCTTCTTATATCAGGAGGGCACCCGTGAGGCCATATCCATTGCGATTTTGTGATTTGTATATAAGATGATAAACCTATCTAATGCTAAGATGTGGAAAAGTCTTCGATCTGAGGGACTTTCTTTTGGTGAAGAATAACCTATGAGCTTCATAGAAGATTATTCTTCTTTGGGATGAAGTTTTTTTTGTGTGTGTGTGCGCGCGCGCAAATGAGGGGCAAGCCTCGTCAAGTATAGATTAACATTAAATGTAGCAATGCTACTCCTACTCTAGTGATGGCACTTAGATCATATCCGTCTTCGAGGTTCGATTATCGCCCTTATACAGTAGAATACATACACCGATAAAAAGTACATGTTTGGAGGGAACAAGTGTGGGTAGAAGATTAATGTAACATAGTTTCAAAACAACCACAATGTTAAACTGAACCAACTTCTTTGACCCAATGATATAACCTTCAATTTTGGACAACTTTTTACTTATATGGACCTTAAAAAGAAAGAGGTCGGGGTGCTTGTATGGACCCCATAAGACTAGAGGAAACCATTTGGGTGGTTGAAATCTTCTCTTGCAACTAATTCTTGATCATTTCAAGCGAGCTAAATCTAAAAAGATCCCAATTAATATTATTTTGATGTTTATAGTTAATGTTTTACTCCGTAACAAGTTGAAGTCAAAATATAAAAACATAAGAAGAAAGTGAGGGTTAAGATTATTTATTTGTTAACAGAATAACTACCGAGTAATAAGCCACTAACAGCCATGTTCCTAGAATTAAGGGCCAGTAATCCATTAACTTAGGACAAAGTCTAATTACAACAATAATAATTTGTAGTTGATGAGCGTACTTAGTAATAGTAAGTGCACTTGCAGACTTCATCAAAATTTGGTGCTTGGTTTCTTCAAGAACGCGTGCAAGATGCTGGCAAAAAACGGAGAGGTGCACATTACTCACAAGACTGCGCATCCTTTTGATCGATGGGATATCGAAAAACTGGCTAGGCAAGCAGGTTTGTACTTGATTGAACAAGTATGGTTCAGAAAGAGGGACTAACCAAGTTATAATAACAAGAAAGGAGAAGGGCATGGAAGTAGATGTGACAAGTCTTTTCCTATAGGTGAATGCTCTACATGTAATTTTGCCAAACTTTAATACAGAGTACCTCGCTTAATTAATTTCATTTAGTCAGAGTCTTTGGCTAGTATTATTATTAGTAAACGTAGGAAAATCTATAAACAAAATAGAAAGAGTTGAAGATAGGAAATAAATCCCTACCTTTTAAAATGTCAAGACTATTATATCCCTAATTTTAAAAAGTGTGAAAAAACACTTTATGAATAGTTTGATGATTATTATATCCTTAAAATGTTTGTTCACCTATATGCTCTTATTAATATAATGTTAATTTGTCTCTAAATGATTTAACTCTTATAAATAGTGTTTGTACAATCATACTCTCAAATATTTATTTACTTATTTACCCTTTATCTCATTATGTTGCCAATAACTAAATGAGCTTCTCGAAAATAGCTAGCTATGATGCCCGTGTTAGCTACCTTAGTTATTTAAAATTTGTTTAGTATTCGAATTTTGGGATCTGAAGGATTTTTATCTCTCAACTATTTTCTTGGGCCCCTTGACAGATAAATCCAGCCCAAATTTAATACATTGGGCTCTGAAAAATTTATCTAGACCTAATATGATGTTTAGGGCCTATGGATGAAAATCCAGCCCAATTTTATTTTGGGCTCATAAGGATTATTCTACAAAATCCAGCCCAGGTAGGACTAAACTTGGCAAACGGGTTGTTCGAGTCGGTTCAATTCGGGTTTCAGGTCAAATTCGGATTAGCACTTCAGGTTAAGTTCGGTTCAGGTCAGTTCGGGTCGATTAAGTTCGGGTCGGGTCAATTTCGGGTCGAGCCAATTCTGGTCGGATCAAGTTTGGGTCGGGTATTTGGGATCCTTTATTAAACAGACAAACAGAATACAGATTGGAAGGAAAACAGTTGAAGGAGCTCCGGAAGATCTTGGGGCAGGAAAGCCAATGACAGCTCACAGCTGAGATGTGTAGCCTACCTAGACTAGTCCAGTTCGTTTCCCTTAACAAGTGATTTTAAAATTACTACATATTTGTTCAACTTTTCTCCAATTGTTGTCTCGTGATTCAAGTTGTATCCTTGATGAATGTTTTTAACTTTACAACAATTGTGCTAAATAAAGTAGCTTGTTACTATGAGATTAGTGGCCTTTTGTATGTCTGAAGCTGAATAATTGAATGTGCCCTTTCCATTCCATTCTATAAAACAATATAAAGTCAAAAGAATATGAAGAGCCTGCAAGATTCCATATACGATGAACTACAGTATTGTTAATGTCAGAGAGAAACTAAGAGTTACGTTGGAAATCAATACAAGTATCTTAATTATGTATCTACTAGTAAATACCAAAAAATTGGGAATGGTAATGGACTAATGGTAACACCAAATTCCTAGTATTTGACAGCATTTTACAATGATAGGAATTGGGTGAGTCCTTTTCATATCCCACTCGATCGGTCCCTATAAATAGTCGAGGGCCTCAAACAAATCAGGGCAAAGAGCAAAATGGGCAGTGAAAGTGATAATATATTGTTGGAAAAACAATTGGTGATGTATGATGAACCCGAGAAAGAAAAATGGATACAGCATTACAGCAGCAGGCATAGGATACTGCTGGTTGGTGAGGGTGACTTTTCATTCGCGGCTTGCTTGGCTACAGCCTTTGGGAATGCCACTAGTATGATCGCTACTTCCCTCGATTCTCAAGGTCTGTTTTATACTTTTATACCTTCACCCTTCACCCTTCACTAAGATTTCAGCTTTAGATTATACATACTTTTCGCATATATATTTTATTGGTAAAGTCTTGTTTTTGGGATTATTGCAGATATGTTGGTAAACAAGTATGCAGATGCAAACAGCAACCTTGATCTTCTCAAGGAGAAGGGTTGTGTCCTGTTGCACAGAGTAGATGCACTTACAATGAGCGAACATCCCGTGTTGCAAAAACAAGTTTTCGATAGAATTGTCTTCAATTTTCCACATACATTACTCCTACTTCGCGAGCATTATGCCGCCCAAATCAAGTATGTAAATTGATTTGTTTTCTTACTAGACAAAGTGAGTAGAATTGTTTAAAATGCATGCTAATATTTAGTATGTCGGTTCCTGTGTGTGCAGGCTTCACCAAGAACTAGTAGTGGGTTTTTTCAAGAGTGCGTACAAGATGGTGGCAGAAAATGGAGAGGTACACGTTACTCACAAGACCGCTCATCCATTTGATCAATGGAATATCGAAGAGCTTGCCAGTGAAGCAGGCCTATACTTGGTTGATGAAGTTAGCTTCTACCAGTGGAATTACCCAGGGTATCATAACAAGAGAGGAGATGGACATGTATGTAGATGTGATGCGTCTTTCCCCATAGGTGCATGCTCTACGTTCAAGTTTGCCAAACTTTGATGTGGATCCAGTGAAACGTGTCGTAGTTGTTAGCTTAATTTGTATTCAAAGTGTGAAGCTGCTCACACAATCATCAATCGAATGGGATGTAACCTTCTAATTCTCAGAATGAAAATTAGCAATTGTGGTATTTTGTTGCCTGTATTTTTCAACTTAAACATATGATGGTGTAAGTAAATTTCATTAGGTTCATACATGTTCGTTTTTGTTAGTTGTCTTTGTATTGTGAAGGGAAGGAATAGAATGGAATCAACTCATCGATCAAATAATCAAAATTATTCACCAAATGTAATGAAGCTTGAGGTGGTAGAGTAGTGGCATCGCTCCTCACGTTATGGGACTTATTTGAGGGATTTTCCTGATCTCTTCCCCCTCCTCCTCCTCCCCAAGAGCCCTTACCTTCTTCTTACCATTAAAACTAACTAATTAATATAGATTTTGATTAAAATAATGCTCCTAATTGTTGTCATTTCTCAAATATTAATATCAGCGAAAAGGTCTTTAATTTGTACCCTCTATTTAAATTTTATTCATAAAATTTGTACGTACATATGTATTTAGATGTTTCGTTATGAATGGAAAAACAAAACTATGAACCCTTCCGTACAAATTTTTACCTAATTTATTTATGCGGTCAAATACTCCCAATTACAAATACTCCGTATAATTCTTTAAATTTATTTTCTACCCAAATGCAAATTGCTATGAAGACAGTGATAGAGTGACATAATTGAAATTTGACCAAAGCTAACTTGGGAAGAAAGAAGTTCCGAAGAAAAATTGGGATTTTGAGGTTAAAAAATACTGATCCAGAATAACTTGGGAAGAAAGATCATCCTACTACATTATCTTATTAATCTTAATTGGAAAATCCACGATTAAAACCGGAACCCCTTCTTTTAATAATCAAATCAGTTCAATTCATCGAATTCAATAAATCCAGAAAAAAAAAAAAGGAAAAGAATGAGTTTTCTGGCGGGGAGATTGGCGGGGAAGGAAGCAGCCTATTTCTTCGAAGAATCCAAACACGCCGTAAGTCGTCTGGCTGAGAAAACCAGCAAATCATCCAAAACCCCAATTCATTCTAATTCTAATTCGGAATCAGCAGCTCCTCCGGATATTCTCCCGGAGATTCTCCGTCATTCTTTACCGGCCAAGATTTATCGGACGGACCTTTCTTCTGATTCATCACTCTCCACTTCGGCTAAATGGGCACTTCCCAATTCCTCAAACGCTTCTCACTCCTCTGTTTCTCCTGACGTTTTGAATCCTCTCACTGGTTTTCTCTCTCTTCCCCAAGTTACCTTTGGTCCCAAGAGGTCTGCTTTCTTCTCTCTCGCTTTTCTTTTATGATCACTTATTCGTGCTAATGTACTGGATAAATTCTAAATTCATCTCATTTTTGGGATTCGGGGGTAGGTTAATTAGATAAGTTCTCTTGTTTGGAAATATTAACCCACTGATTACTAGAATTGTGAAAACATCTGCTTTTGTTTTTTATTTCTGTAATATGTTTATGTGAGGAATTGAAGCAGTTTTATGCTTTTATATGCTATGCTAGCTATGAAATGCCTTCAAATATCAAGCTGAGTATGTGTAGAATGATTAAAATTAATGACTAGTATCTTACACTGTCCTGCATTGCTACAGAAGTTGGTCTTGTCAACGTTTTTGATGTGGAGAGAGTAGTAAAGGGCAGTGATATTTTGCTGATCTTGTCAACTTTGTTGATGTAGAGAGGATTTCAAAGGGCAATGATGTATAGTAGTTTACATTATCTAATGGTGTGGATGCAGGTGGCAGTTGCCGACACCGCAGTCATCGGTTACAGCATCAACAGCCAATGACTTGCGCCTCCAACACCAAACACACATCAATCCTGAAAAAGCAAGAGCTGCAGCCGAAGGTCTTTCACACAGTATGCATTCTTTTCCTGGATCCTTGCCTGCATTTCTCTAGTCATTTATGCATCTGAAGTTTGTTTCTTGATTTGAATATGATGTACCAAACCTCATGCTGCATTGAGTAAATATGATATATGCTCTCACAGCAGCAGAAGAACTTCTCAAAGTATTGGATTTTAAATCAATCTGTATGCCCATTCGTTTAGTAATATGCTACTCATTAATTTTGCTTGTAGTTGGGAAAGCCTTTGCTGTTGCTACTGCAATTATCTTTGGTACTGCTGCGCTGACATTCGGATTCTTTGCATCACAGCTACAACTTCATAATGTAAGTGAATGACTTGCTCTTTCCTGCAACCATTTGTGTATCTTGAACATGTTCTATGTACTTCCTAAAGCCTTGATCATATTGATATTTCAAACTATTCCAAGGATACTTGTTAAATAGATCAGTACCAGGATCATGGTGATTTTGATGTGACTTTGTATGGTTAATTTTTCGCATATATTGGTGCTTGGCTCGATTAAAAAATCATATTATTGAGTAAAATAATATTCTAATATTTCTGACAGGAATTAAGGATTTAAGGGTATGTAAGAAACATCATATAGCACAACTCCAATTGCTCGCCAACTTTTGAAAAGATTGCATATTTGCATCCATTTTAATTGTCAAAAAACTTGTCTTGGCTGCTTTCAAATCATTTCAGCCTTTGTATGTATGTATATATGTATATTGTAGAGGACATACTAGATGTGCTTGGAGTTTGTACTTATTCAACCATAGCCAAGTAACCCAACATTGTGGATGCGGAATTTTTTTTGGAGTTTGTCATAAAGTAGTTAGTGGAAGTATTTTTTTTCTATTAAATACGGAGCATACAATAGGTGCGTTCTACTATTTAAGAGCCCATCTGCAGTGATTGAAACAACTTGATAAGTTCTCCAGAGTGATTATACCTTTGGGTTATGCCTGTTTTGATTAGCATTTCTGGAAATGAAACTTTTAGTGTATTTAAGTTTCTTTTTAGCTTATATGCACATGGATATTTTAAATTTTAAACCTAGTCAAGAAGTCAGGTTGTACTTTAATTTTTAAACCTTTTATAAGCTTGGTTCTAATCCTATAAGATTTTCTTCTTTGATATGTTAATTTACTTAAGTTAATGCATTAGAGTGATGGTATGAACTCTGGTTAATTATTTTGCATAATTTGATGCCTGGCTCGATTAAACAAAGTCAAATTATTGAGTGAAATAATGAATGATAAATCTGATAAGAATTTGGGCTATATAAGAAAGATCATATAGCGCGGTACGGTCCAATAGTTCATTTACCTAAATTAGAACTTGGGAGGATTGCATCCTTTTTTAATGATAAAAAGCCTGTCCTGTGGGCTATCAAATGAGATCCTTTGTATGTAGACTCCATATTAGATGTGTTTACTGTAATACTGCGTAGAGTTTGTGCTGATCCAACCATATCCAATATCGTGGATCCGGGATATAAGTTTGGAGTAATAATATTATCAGTTTATCACAATAGGTGTATTTTAGAGCCTGATGCAGCAATTGACACAATTTGAAAAAAAAACTTGCTAGTGAATATTTTATGCATACTTCCTGTTTTTGTTAGCGTTGCCAAAAATTCATTTAGTTTGAACCTTATAAATGTTGTAGTTTCTTTCTGAGTCTATACATGGATCTTTTAAATTAAAGCCAAGTCAATAAGTCAAGTTGTACTTTAGTTTTTGAACATGTTGGAATCCTGGTCTTATAAGATACAAAATAGTAAGTCTCTTTGATTTGTTTGCTTACATGAAATTAATACATTACAGACGGATGATATTCGGATAAAGGGAAGGGATTTAGTCCGGCCAAAATTCGAGAATATCAAAGAGCAATTGCACCCCCTGAAAGACTGGGTACATACTAGCTTTGCTTGATGAATTTATTTTGTTGAGCTTTTGTTTTATGCTTGTGTAATAACTAGAAGTTTGCTATTTTAGGCTGAAAATACTTCAAAGAAGTGGCACCTCAAGAATGAGCAGGATATAAAAGAGAGGCCCATTGTAAAGGAGCTTTCAAAGATATTACGTGCAAAAGATTCTGCATGACCTGAATCTGTTGTGTTCTTCGTTTTCTCCAATCCTTGTCTATATATCTCTGTAAGTGGTGACTGTGTTGTTGAAAAGAATAAGGGTAATGGCAATAGATTCAAGTGTTGTCCTTAAAAGAAGTCTAGATGTTTCCATGCATTTTTGTAAAAATCCTCTGTTTTTCAGATAATAGAGGAAAATTGAATGTAAAATATTTTTGTTTCCACTTGAAAATTTTAGCTGGTAAATGTATAATATCCTGTGAAAAGGTTTTTTTTTTTGGTTTATGGTAGCACTGTGGCAGAGACCTTAAATAATCCTATTTGTCAAATTCTCATGTAATATACACATTAGTATATATTAACACACCACATCTCAAGTATATAGTTCTGTACGTAGTTCAGATTATGGAATGTTGGCCACCTCTACATTCAAGTGCTGAAGCAAAGTTTCTGAAAAGCGAAGAAATCATAGGATAGAGGTTAAAGCTTCTTTATCATGATGGAGGTGCTGAGTAGCCAGTTCTGAATTGAATAAGAAACCTCATTCTTGGAGTTCTGGCCTTGTGTTTTGGGCTACCTTTTACCTTGTTTTGCTTTCATTTCCTACATAGTATTTCTTTTCTTTTCTTCCTTCGAAATTTGTACTAAAGTTGGTTGCGTGTCTGAATTGTTTGCTGATTAATTTTGTAATGAAAATCAGCAAATGCAAAGAAGATGAGAGAAGATCAGGAGATTGATGCGCAGATATTATGTGATTAAGGATTATTTTAGCCAGTAGATTACCATTCCAGTATGGAAAGGGGTATTCACTATTCAGGTAGATGGCAAGGCCAATTACAGTCCAAGCTGAAAAAGCACTAAATTGGGCAGTGCTCTTTATCTGATTAAAACGGTCAGTGCTTTCTTTACCTATTTACAGTATTACAGTTTCTGATATCAGGAGTCCACTGCCCAGAAGAGTGTGTATGCTCCGATCCAGGAGGACACACTCTGCATTTGATTAGTCATTTAAGGTCTGTTTTTGAACTTTTAAGTTGATGAGGAAGTCTTGTTGAAGTTTGGTGGAAGTTGAGAATAAACATGGTAGGACATACTCGTACGTACCTGCCATTTCAATCCATCTCACTTTTTCTGCGCATCACGGGAAAACAGGCAAAATGACAAATAAGACGATCTCACAGTAAATTTGGCAAATAATCTCATGCATTTATTTCAAACTATTAGCTATACTTATTTTGGTGCTGAAAATGACGTGAAATGTTGTGCATACATTTGGCATTAAGCTTCTCCATGCTTTTGTTGTACCCATACGACATTTCCAAAGGATAAGATAAAATTTTATTATGTAGCTGAAAACTACATGTATTGTCGATCAATACTTATATTGAAAACAAATACTTTTGTAAAGAACTCTATAATTGTATGCAATCAATGTTTTAGCATCACTTGTTTCAGAATGGATGTACTGTCGTCGTAAATTTTGGAGTCTATATGAATTGAAATTAAACATCTGATTAGATGGACAAGTGCACTATATAAATTAGTACTGTACTAATTAGTACTATAACTGGTTGATTTGGATCACCTTTATAGATTAGAAAAATCTGCTGATAGATTAGATTTTATATAGGTTGAAGGATTCAGAGACAGGGACGTGTATTGTGTACTGTATTTTAGCACTCACATATTCCTCTCTTTTGTCAACTTGCTTATACAGCAGCCTTTTCTCTCCAATCAGGAATTTTCCTTTTTTTTTCTTTTTTTTTTTTTTTATTCTTAAAGTGGTGAGAAGATTCTCACTGACTCCAAATCTTCATATATGGCGTACTCTATTTACTAATCAATTTTCTATCTATATAATGGGGAACTTAAATCATACGAAATGTATTTCTTTATACAATGATTTTGGTATTAGTAAGAAGTATGATATCTTATTAAACGAGTTGGTCTTGGAGATGATTAGCATATATATGTTGTCTCAATACTACTCACAATTCATTTGGTACAAGATTGTAACAAGGTTTGAGTGACTGATGATGAATTTGATGTGTAATTTTGGTCTTAAATGTTGTGGTATGGATGTCCAAAGTAATACAAGTAGATCTCAACTTTTAATCACGTATTTTCATTGCAATGTATTACCAAAATCTTAAACATTGGATTCTTTCATCTCCTATTTGGATTAAATTTGTAAATTACACTCTCAACTTTAGAGAAGATATAGAGAGAAAAGTCGTCAAAATTAGAGAGCAAAAATCCAATTTATACAATGTGAACAAAAGTCATAAGAATGTGTTCTTCCCCTATCTTTTGAACATATTTTGTCTAAACTAAATAAAAGCAGAGTAGTTAATTATGTTTGCCTTTGTTTAAATGATATTATGTAAATTAAGTCAAAATTAACAACAAATCTTAAATGAAAATATGGAGAGAAGGTAATCAAGGTATTAGGGAAAAATGCATACTCCTATATGAATGGTTTGGGTTGATTAAGATGTATTGAGCTCCAAATGTCTTTATGTACACGCTTAAGAGAATTGGTCCACATAAACTTAAACAGCAATTAGTCAATTAAAGAAGATGGCCCACATTGATTAATGGGTTGTTGCTGAAAGTGTTAGATTTAGGTTGGTTCAATGGTCGTTTTCTATTGTTTTCAATGTTTTGTCAAGAAAAAGGTGAGCTACCATTTACCCTGACTATTATGATATCATACCATGGTTCCACATGTCACTCTGTTTTGTTAAACCCTTCTTCACAAGCCATTTTGATGCAACCTTACATTCATCTATCAAACCATTGATGTTTACGTTCTCAATCTTTACTACTTTGATCATGTGGAAGGAGTATTAATGTATTTAATTCTACTATTAGCTCATTCAATTAGTTTAATTATTATTATTGGATAAGAGATGGAAATGAGTTTTTGGATTTCTAGAATGAAGACTGATAAAGTTAATTGTATGATACTTTGCTTCTAAGCCACCAAAGGCCTAAACCAAAAAAATCAAAATTCTTTATCTTCCTTGAACTACAACTTGAGGCTTAATACTGCAAAAGTTGAGTTGAGTATAAATCTCATTTAGATATAACTGATATTGATAAGGTATCTAATGTCTATCCTACACTCGGGTGTAAATTTGCACTCTTACATCATCTTTTGTAGTATGTCTCTAAAATGGAATGACCTCTTAATGATGTTCAAGACAAATAATATAGTTGAGTAAAGAAAAAATATCTACTCAATAATAAACTTGTAAAATGACCATAGTACCCCTAGAAAAAATACATAGATAAATGTAGCTAGAACCCATACTGTATGTCTGAAAAACAGAGAGGGGTTGGTTCAGGTAGCCTATTGCCTGGAAGCAAAGGGTTTGAAGAAGAGTGACGTAAAGCAAAAAACGAAAATGGTATCTCAAAATGAATGATTGCGTGCCCGAAACCACAATCCAAGTGGGGATTATGGGTCCAACGATAACCATAATCAATGAATAATATTAATGAGGGAATCTTTCTTTGTTTGTCATAGTGTATGAATAAATAAAGAATCTATAACAGAGAAGATTGAGTAAGAATACTGTTATGTGAGTTAGAAAGAGATTATGTATTAAGAAGAAGAAGCAGCAGTTGTGGCGGAGGAAGAAGAAACAGAAAAGCTGGGAAAGGCAGGAGGTGGAGAGTTGTTGGATGGTATATTTGATTGCATCCATGACATCACTGCTGTCATTGCTTCTTCATCAGCTGGGTGGAGGATGAAGGATTCTGCTTACCGTGTGCATACCACCTCTCGCCTCGCTCAATGGCGTATCGAAAACCTCTCCTCTTGTACTTACCGTCGTTCTGATCCTTTTAAGATTGGTCTTTGGAATTGGCACTTGGCTTTAGAGAAGAATAGGGTGTTGATGTTAAAGTTGTATCCTGAGGTTTCCAATTTGACCAGAGAGAATCCTCCCATCGCGTCTTTTATTATCCGTGTCTTGTCTTCTGTTGGTGATCGCAAGCCCCTCGTTCACCCTGGTTTGTTTCTTATTCATGCACATTTCAATTTTTTTTTTTAATCGTCATTTCATTCTTTCAATTTATACGAGTTCTGCGATGCTACTGCAGGTATAACAGACCAGCAGCTCAAAAGCAACGACGATTTTGTTTGGCCTATCAACGTTCCACTAACTGGGAAATTCATCATTGATGTTGAATTTCTGGACTTGAAGACTTCGTCTCCAAAAGTAAGCATTTCAGTTGATACGTACCTTATGGACTCTTATCATGTGCTGTACAAGCGTAGAATAGTATTTGTACATAGAGATTTGTTTGTTGAGATGAAAAATGAAACTCTACTGCAGGGTGGGGAGCCCTGTTCCATCTGGGCAGAAGGGTCAAGCAGCAGGAGGTCTAACAGCTCAGCTCTCAGCGGCCTCAGACGGATGCTGACAGAAGGCATCTACACAGACATTACAATCAACACGTCCGATGGGTGTGTTGGAGCCCACAGGGCAGTTTTAGCTGCACGGTCCCCGGTGTTTCAAAGCATGTTCTCTCACGACCTGCAGGAGAAGGAATTTTCTACCATAAACATATCAGACATGACTGTAGATTCTTGCCAAGCCTTGCTCAGTTACCTGTACGGCTGCATAGAGCACAAGGATTTTCTGCATCACCGCCTCTCCCTCCTCCGTGCAGCTGACAAGTATGACATCGCGGATCTCAAAGAAGCGTGCCATGTCAGCCTCCTTGAGGACATTGACGCCAAGAATGTACTAGAAAGACTACAAAATGCATCCCTGTACCAGCTGCCTGAACTTAAGAGCAGCTGTATGAGGTATTTGGTCCAGTTTGGAAAGATATATGATCTTCGCGATGAATTCAATGTGTTCCTTCAATGTGCTGATAGGGAATTGATTGCCGAAATCTTCCAAGAAATTCTTGCTACCTGGAAAGGTTTCTGATTCTTTGGTAATGCCTGATGGAGTATAACGTACTCCAGGAGGGCTAATTAAGTTATTGCATGTGTTGATGTACATACAACATGTCTGATCTTGAATGAATCTTATTAAACCCAATTCGAGTACTGATTTCTTTGTGTTTGGTATGAATGTAAACATATGTTTACAGGTACTGTATATAATACTAGTTTTTTGAAGAGTCAAGATTGTACGCGTATTGATTTGGCGAAAAAAAAGTGAGAGTATCTTCCTCCTTAATACCATGCTTTATACTTTCAACCATTTCAATTTGAAATCAGGTTAGAGGCGCAATTAGTACGAGTACATCACAATGGATAGATAAATAAAGAAGAGAACTTAAAGATGTGAAGACATAATCAATTAATTATGGCGTCAAAAAGACCCTTATTGTCATTGGTCTTCCTAAAATGTGTCATCTAATCCTAACAAAATTTACACATACCCGATTCTCCTACCCGGTATACGAAACCTAAAACCCAAACTCTTCCCAAAATTAATTTACACAATTTGGCCTGAGCCAACCCGGCCAAAAATAAATGTTCTTGTAAAATATTACTTTGTATTTTGTTAAAATAAGTGTCTCAACCATAAATCTAAAAAAGACCTAATTCGAACCCAAAATCAACCCAAACAAGTCATACCCGAAAATAATCCAACCTAAAGAGACTATTCAAAAATGATCCGAATGACCCGATTGTTACCTCTAATACTATTACTACTATCGTTCTTATGATAGAAATAACTTTGGTAATTTGGCAACGATCGAGGCATGCACTGTCAAATACTACTACATATTTTTCTATCCATACAAGGGACAAAATGCTTGGATATATGTTTCCATTTCATCATCTTGTTTTTCATCCCCCACCCATTACAAGATGGTAATAGCTTTATAAATTATAAATTATAAATTATAAATCATACTCAATTGATTTGCAAAATGTTTTGAACAATAATACCAAGAGTATAATTTCTATGTCAGTACTACAATTTTGTATTGATTTAAGAATTAAATTCTTGTCAGCCTCCAAAAAGAAATCCGGCTGCTTGCTCTTCATTGCAATTGAAAAGCTGGAGAGCTTGTATAACATCATTCCTTTGAAATCCTAGCTCGACAAGCTTTGCTACTTTGGCTTCGAAATCAGGACCCTGCAGCAGAGACATATGTCACTCAGATTCAGCTTTCTATACCCTGACATACTTGTCCAAGAGTCGGAATTCTATTTCGTGAAAATAAAATAAAAAGAGAGAGAGAGATTGTACTCCTCTAATGGATTCTTTAATATTCCAAGTGAGACTGTTTTGAATACTTATCTAAGAATCAAACTACCATGTCACTGATTGTTTAAATGCAGTTCATGTTGACATACTGAAGTGTACTGAGGACTACTGACAATCCTAAATGGATGAATTGTGTAACATGAAATGTTCAAGTAACATAGCTCACTTAGACTCAATCAACATAGCAATTTAGCTCACTGTAGAAGATAATGTACAAATAGAGAAAAAGAAGAATATGTGCGATATGTGGTCACAAATAGGCTTTTTGATAAACATTTCAACAAGATTTAACAATCAAGTTAGCCTGAAATGAGATTACACTCGTGCTTAAGACATGTAGAGGTGTAACAATGAGGTTCTTGCTATGTATTCACACCATGTAGGTCAAACCCCAGGCTCCAAACATGTACACTTGTGGTTATGGCCTTGGGCCTCAAAAAAACAGAAAAGAGGACTAAATGTTTGATGAATAGCGCTAGTCTATAGATGCTCATAACATTTTAGCAGCAGCTAAGGACCTATGGTTTTCGATCATGTGAAACTTCAATAACTAGATGATAGGGTTAGAGAGGTTTTCTGCACATACCTGAGCAGGATTCCCACCAGAAGATCCTGAGAAGAAATTTAGATTAAAATTAATGGACATGAATAGATACTTGTAAGCAAAACAGATGGAGAGAGAGAGATAGTGTGTATCTGAATACCATAAAATTGGCACAGCTAATTAAAGTAATTAGATACAGGCTATATATTGTTTCAAAGACCCCAGCTCGAAGAAAAGATAATTGTGCACATAGTTAACCTAAGCCACCAAAAAAACTAAGATAAGCTGCACGATAGCATACTCATTGTATTTCTGATTGCTACCAATTTGAAAGTTTGATGCGCGTGTTTGACTCTAAAGACTTGCTCGTGCATTTAGAGTTCATAAAATATATTTCAAACTTGCTCAAGACTTGAAATTAAAAATATTCCGATATAGATCTGCAGAAAGGCTTTCAATTTGACGAGTTCTAAGAAACGCATCTTCCATCAGAAGGTTCCTCTCCCAAGTTCCTACTTACAGATAACTCAAGATAAAAGTTGCAAGTCTTACAGATAGTGATAGAAAAGGACGAAAAGGTAACCTTATTAAGTATTTAAATTGTGATTAACTTATTACTCTTGTTTCTTATACCTTTTTTTTCCTTCTTTCACAATTGTGTCTGTAGATGAATTTAAATGTCATCAATTTCTAAATTGGTTAGATCGTAGATGTTGAAGTACCAGAAGTTGGGGATTCAAGTATTAGTAGGCTCTCATTTGTCTTATTTTTATACGAATATGTGTGCATATCAAATGGCAAATAGCGCCCCTTTGGTAGTAGGAGAGAGCCATGTAGGGGGTAGACATGAAAGAGAAAGCCTTTTAATATAATACGCTAATAACATAGACACAGATTGTACAGCTAACTAGAATAACTTACCGGAAGATTGACTTCCAATTGGAGCGCTTGGAACATCTCTAATGTCTTTGCTTCCTGATGAAACCTACAAAATCCCAAAGTAGTCAATAATACTGACACAAAGAATACTAGTAGCAAATAGAATACAAAGAGAGAATCATTACCGGAGCCCCTGAACTAGAAGCCTGCTTGGCAAAGCTCTCTTCATCCAGAAAATGAGAAGGGATATCCTTTTCTGGAAACAGTATGAGAAATCATCAAAATAAAATAAAATTAAAAAAAAAAACCACATAACACCTAACTAAAATTATATGTAAATTGAACCAGAAATTCTAACCAGGTAAAAATGGCACAGAAACCTCTCCTCCACCAACTTTTAATGCATTCTCCTTCAAATCAATTATGCACTGCAAAGAAAGCCTAGTCAGATTTATTCAGCTTAAGGAGAAGAAACGTCGAAAAAAAACACACCAAAGAAAATTACCTGATGTTTACGAAGCATATCCAAACCAAAGAGAAATTCCATGTTGTCGGAGTCAAGGACTGTAAATGAACAAGGGTAAAACACATTCCCAATCTTCCAAAGACCACAGGGAATGGAGATAAACAATGAAATTAAATTAAGCAACCAACGTAAATATACAGAATAAAACTTACAAAAGCATATGGTAACTGCAGTTCATGTCAAATGTTTAATAACCGACATAATTAATTAAATTTTAGATTAATGCTTATGGAGGGTGGTGTGGGAACAACTTCCATGCACACATTTCATAAGCAATATACCCACCATCTCCATGTTTTTTTCTACAAAGCTAAATATGAATTCACAGAACAAGCATAGGGTATGCACAGATGTGCACCAAGGCCACCAACACACAAATAATAAGAACAATGAGGGAATCCTTAAATAGAAGGTTTTTCTTCCACTACCTTGATGTGAGCTACATGTATCCGACCTAGTATCTCCATCTGACCAACTCCACGAGCAATACCTTTGTATCGTTCATCCAACAGCCTCAACAGTCTGGAGTGAGATAAAGGTACAGGATGAACATAAGTCTGGAGAGTCTTAAAATCTCATTACAAGGAATTCACATTCCCTATCACCACACATTATGCATAATACATTTAATGACAAGACCCTTGAGATGAGAATAATTATAATGTTGATCATGAAGAATTGAAGACAATGCAAACACAATAAAATTAACCTAACAAGAATGCTTTCAAAGCAACGAGCCCTACATGCAATCAAAACAGCCATAGGCATCCCAACAGAAGCACTTGGGTATTGATACGTCTACAGTATGGTACTTGTGCTTGGTGCTTGTTGATACAAACCTCAAAAAGGTTTTTTTTTGTATTAATTAAAGATATATTGGTAGAGGAGTGTTGCTAATACTAGAAACATAGCACGATCATGTTCCAGCAGGAGTTAATACAATCGTACAAGAAACTTACCCACAACGCTCTGCACAACGTTTAGATATTATAGTTGATTGGGCTCCACTATCAACAAATGCCTGAAACAGAATCAATATTTGCTTGTGAACATTTTGTAGTCACGTTTAGAACACCAAAAGATACTCCAAAGTTCACAGAGATAAGAGAGAAACTATCTGAGAGACAGGAACCCTTAAAAAATCTAGCTCTTTTTCAATTTTATATGATAATTCTAGCCTTTTTCACACATTAAAAATTACAGCTCTGGTTGGGTGGTGAACAGAATCAGCATAAACTTGCATAATTTAGATTAATAGCAAAAGATTTTAAACAAAAGGCAGTGATATAACAGGACCTGAATCTAACTGATACTTTTGGGAATTTTTTTTCCTATTCTCTTTGAATTAGCTTTAAATTTTATAAGCAAAACTCATTACACATCCCCCCAAACCCAAAGATAGACTTACTAAACACCATGTAGTAACTAGCAAGTACCTTTATTGGGACACCATTTACTTCCATATCCACATACAGCATAACCTGTAAAATAAGACAAGGATTTTATGAAGTATTTAATTATATCCAGATGGAAACTTATGAGAAATAAAATATATATAACATGTACCACTCTAGCAAAAGCTTCAGGGTTGTGTTCAAGGGCTGCTGCCCAGTTTTCGTCAATTCCTTTCTACAAGAGAAAGCATCAAAATTGCAGAAAGTCACAATGAGAAACCATAAAAGCCTTTATATAAACAAATTATGCTAGATAGAGTTAGAAAAGTTTAAATACTCCACAAGAAGATAATAAATGTCTTACCTGGCGAATGGAAGCTTCAATCTTCCTCTGTGCATCCACATCAAAAGGGTCTGCATAATGCAAAGCCTATCAAAAAATCAAGATGTTAATCAATGGCCAAACACAAAAACCTAACAAGATTACAGCTATAAATGACGAAAGATATTTCGATCCAGCGGTCCAGCCATAATGCTCATTACAGAATTTCTGGATTCTGCTATACTATGTAATTCGCTACCATACTTCGGCTTTTTGCTCTTAAGCAACA